AAAGAAAATGGCCCAAATAGCAATGTCAGGTGGAGAAGAGACATTGGGGAAAATGAAGGAGTGGTGGGGATGAGGCGTGGGGTGTGAGGAGGCAGAAAGCGCTTTAGGGCTCAGGCCCAAGGTGGAGGGTCCTGTGAAGTTCCAAGGCCATTTGGGGCGGGGCAGGAGGGGCTGGTGCAGCAGCGTGAAGAATTTCAGTGGGAGTGGGAACAGTGATAGGACTTTTCTACTGGGGGTTTGGGTTGTCCATTTTCAGAAGGTCATGCTGGCACTCTGGCTGCTGTCGGGGCATAGGTTGGAGGCTGCCGGGGAAGCTGGTGAAGACACTGGGAACGGGTGTAAGTGAATTCTGGGTGGCTTGTATGGGTTGGGCCAGTGGGGCTGTTGAGAAGCGAGTGATGAGACTGATTTGTGACCATGGCAGGTGGCAAGGGTTACTGACAGACTGCATTGTGGGTGTGAGAGAAGCCGAGGGGGTCAGAGGTTTGGGTGACTGGAGGGTGAGGGGTTTAGTGGCAGGGGACAACTCGGCTTTGTGCACTTTCCACATGTGAGTCAGGGCGTGTTCCATATGTGAGGAGACAGGTCAGGATAAAGCACAGGCATTTGCGAGACACTGGCTCACTGGGAGGAGCGTGTGCATAGAGGGGCGCTTGGGAGGGCTGAGCCCAGGCCACCAGGATGATGTGGAGGGGCAGCCAGCAAAGGGCGCTGGGGAGGAATTGCTGGAGAGGAAGGAGGAATGCCAGGAGTGAGCAAGGCTGGAGTCCCTAGGAAGGAGGAGAACCACACATGCACGTGACACAGTCGCGGATGAGCCCAGGAAGGGTTTAGCGGAGGGGGAACCTGAGCAGAATGGGCAGAATGAAGGCGAAGACAGCTTGGGAGGACAACTCTTCAGAGGGCTCTGTGTGGGACAACAGTGTATGGGGGTTGTGGAGGGGAAGGCAGGGTCAAGGAAGGGCTTGCACTGTATGGATGGTAATGTAGGGTATGTCCTAGAGGGGAAGGTCTGGGAAAGAGGGAGGTGGGTGGGTTTGCAGAGGTTGTCTCTTACGTGAACACAGAAGACCAGAGAGGTTGCCAATGACTAGTGGCTTTGGTGCTGACATGATGAAATATTCTTGTCCAAACTTGGAGCGGAGGGGGTGAGGGTAAGTCCATGACCAAGTGTCACAGGCCTGGCTGTGAGATGCCCTTGCAGGCCTTGGGTTCATCCTGTGCTTGTTAGTGGGGAGAGGCCTATAGGGTCCCGTCCTTGGGGCTGCTGAGCCTGGTTCTGAGCCTGGCTTTGCTTATGTCATTCCTACTCTTCACTCAGATGCTCGCTTGGGAGTACAAACTGGAGCACGTGTTTTAGGGTGATTTCCATATTCTTGCTTTTAGCCAGAGTAGGCTTTTGAATTCAGCCAGAACCTGGCACTGTTACACAGAGCGAGTTGACCCCAGAATGAGGTATTGAGAGGTGACTGGCCCTGTGTGGACACGGAGGTCCTCTTGGGGGACCCCACGATGCTGAAGCAAGGGACAATGTTTGACTCACATTGCAGGGAGACCCCAATGCCATTCCCTTCCCATGTGGCCCTTGAAACTCACAGGTGAAACACAAGTGTGATGTGTAAGCTGTGGGAGCCAGAGGACATGACAGGTGAAAGGAGATGGTGATCAATATATATTAGCTCTACTTCTGCTTTTATTGCTGTTTTTCCAGCAGTGGAGCTAAATTAAAACTGTGCACTGCTTTTCTGGAGCAAGGGGGAAAATCCTTAGTAGAGGAAAGCACAGAGGGAATGGGCACAGGGCCCGGTGGAACCCCAGCCCGGCTCCTCTCCAGCTAACCTGGTTAATTTAGTTAACCTCCCTGTGTGCAGCTTAGTTTTTCTATCGGAACAATGAGGATGGTGATCTGCTGTCTAGCATTGAGAAGGTCGATGTGCAACTAAAACACCCAGTTTGGGAGCTGGCCCAGCAGACATTCAGTAGATTTACATCACCAAGGACTTGAATGTCCACTGTATGCCAGGCACTATTGTGGGCTCTGGGGCTTTAACAAGAAACCAAGCTCCTGCTCCTCATCAGCTTTGCATTTTAGGGAGGCAGAAGGAAGACCAACAATGAACCGCACACACACACTCTGTCACTCGGGAACAAGGACTTGGAAAAGAAATACAGCAGTGAAGAGATGGAGATGGATGGGGGGGTGATGGCTGCCTAGGGAGGCCCCTGGTGACATTGAGACCGAGGCTGACGAGCCATGTACGTGCCTCGGGTTGTGGTTATCATGGACCAGGAGTCTTCCAGACCCCTTTCTCTGGCACATGCTCCAGAACACGGAGGCTAATAAAGATGGCCTGGCCCTGCCAGCTGGCATCTCTCTGCTTTTTCCGCAGGCTTTAACTCCCTCGTGGGCGGTGTGATGGGCTTCTCCATTCTCCTGAGCGCGGAAGTGTTCAAGCACAACTCGGCGGTCTGGTACCTGGACGGCAGCATCGGGGTGCTGATTGGCCTCACCATATTTGCCTACGGGGTCAAGTATGTTCCTGCTTTTATCTTTGCTTTGCTGGTGGCCAGGAGTGCTGCTCTTTCTGCCACCTCCTCTAGCTAGAAAATGACATCAGGATCCTCAGAGTCCTATCTTGTTCCTGTGCCCCTATTTTTTTTGGGTACCGGGAATCGAACTCAGGACCTCATGCTTGCCAGGCAGGCGCTGTGCCGCTGAGCTATATCCTCGGCCCTCCTGTCCCTTTCTGTCTATGCCTAATCTATGTCAGATGACTGCAGACCACCTCCCCTGGCTGCAGCGAGGCTCATTTGTCCTTGTAGCTGTCTCATAAGTTAGGCAGACTCTTGTGGCACAAAAGCCTTAAGCCTCTCATCAAAAGGGATTCTTTTATTTTTGCCTGATGTCTTCACACCAAGTGGTCCTCCCTTTAGCCACTCTGACCTGGACAAGCGTCCTCCTCTTTCTGCACACTGGCTGTTCCCATGATGTCTCTGGCTAGCAAGCATCTCTGTATGGCTTCCTCACTCTGAAGCTCCTCTTGCCACATGTGGGTGATTCTATAGGTAGGAAGGGCAAGCAGTTCCATGGGACAAGAAGCTGGACCCTGACTTTATGTTACAATGTTTCCAATTTTCCACTACTATGGTTCTATACTCAAAGCCAGGGACAGTTACAAGTTGGTGAGGATGCGGAGCGATTAGAACCGCTCCAGTGCTGGTGGGAACGAACGTGGTGCTTCTGCTTTGAAAAAGAACTTGGCGGTTCCTCAGATGTGAAATATGGAGGCACCATTGGGTGCAGCAGTTCTGCTCCTTGGCATGTAACCCATGCCTGAGCTCGCCCATCAGCGTTCACAGCAGGCCAAGCAGTAACCTTCTCTTGGCCGATGAGTGGGTAAATGTAGGTGTATACAGTGGGCTTGCTCGGCCATCAAAAGGAGCTAGGTACCCATGCACACTGCAGTGTGGATGAACCTCAAACATTATGCCAGGCGGGAGAAAACACATAAAGGTGCCCACATATTCTAAGATCGCCTTTGTATGGAATATCCAGTATAGGCAGCTCCTTAGAGACAAAAGGTAGATTCTTGGTTGCTGGGGTAGCAGGTGTGGAGGGGAGAATGGAGACTCACTGCCAGTGGGCAGGGGTTGTCTTTATGGGATGACAAAATGTTCTTGAATTAGGGTAGTGGGGATCATTACACAAAAGCCTGACTGAACTGTATGCTACTTTAAAGGGTGTTTTAGAGCCGGTGCATGATGAAATGTTAAGTTTCCTCGCGCTTCTTTGAGCCCCAGAGGCACAGAGGGTCCGGTGTGGAGGTGACCATCTCTGTCTTCCTCTCTGCAGGCTCCTCATCGACATGGTGCCAAGGGTAAGGCAGACGCGTCACTACGAGATGTTTGAATGAAGGTGACCAAGGGGCCAGCATGGTCCCCATCTGCATGAAGATTGTCAAAGTGACCAGAGGTTTCCATGTAGGCGGACGGTGCCAACATTTAACTGAACATCCAGTTTCTTTTTTGGAAGTTTTCTTTCATACAGTTTGTCATCACGGGCCAAGGTCTGCCCAGGCGTGGATCTGCCCCACATCCGTCACATACACTACGACAATGCTCAGAGAAGGGGACCCGCTCCCCCATCTGGAGCCGGAACTGACGTTTTCTATATTGTGGAGTAAAGGCGTTCTTGTGGGTTGGGAAAGAGCCCATCCGTGGTGCTCTGAGTCTGAAATGGATAGCAACTGACAGCCCTCCTCTCTGTAAGTGTGTGTGGCCCCCGCCACCACCTAGTTCCAAAGTCTCTCCTGGCAGATTTTAAGGGAAGACCATGCCCTTTTGTCACTCATCCCTATACAAAGCCCAAACCATCAGTGTTTCCTTCCTGATTTCTATCAATATACTTCATTAGTTTCATACTGTTTTACTAATCCTAAACCTAAACAGATTTGTTCAAAAGGAGACCATTCTATTTTTTAAAGTACTTAGTGATACACACGAGCTTTGCATGGACGAGCTAAATAAGCACATAACCCTTTCTCATATGTCCAGAACTTGCACATCCATGTAAAAACAGGATCCATTTTTGAGAGATATGAAACTACAGTTTATTTGTAATAAATGATATAATCCGTATATGCATATATCTATATGCTGTGGTAAGTGGTAATGGTACATTACAGTCTGTGAGATGGTTTACTCCTCTGTAAGGAACGAGACGTTCTCACTGATGTCACGTTAGGTGTAGATTCCGTAGACATGTCCTCCTGCCCTGCAACGTTCTGTACCTCTCACAGTGCTGCCTGCCCGGGCAGCAGTGTCTGGACAATAAAGACCTTTACCTGTTTTGTATGGTATGGGGAGGTCATCTTTTGAGGGATGTCACGGTGCGGCGGCAACACATGGCCTGATGTCTTTACCGTCCTTGTCATGGCCAGGTCCTCCATGACAGGTGCAGGATAACTTGGAAGGGGTTGCTTGTGCCTGGGGGTGGGGGTGGAAGCCAAGATGCCGGACTGTGGAAATGGGCCTCTCGGTCTCAGTAGCTCCCGCTGACACATTTATTAGGGGGAGCTGGAGGCCGTGGGAGGCCGACCTTGCCTGGAACAGGGAGGTGGTCACACTCTCTGCCCTACCCATCTCCAGCTGGCTATGGGAAGCACAGCTTGGGCATCCCTGAGATCCAAGAATGCTTTCTGGGAGCCAACAGGATGCCCCAAGTGCGAAATCTCACATCTGATGTCATGTGATAGATGTCACAACACAGGTGCAACTAAAGATACTGTGCATAGGTACGGTGGAACGTTTACGTGAGACAGATGCTGTGTGTAGCCATGTCAGACTACGTGTATACGTATACTGAAACAAATCCAGATAGCTCATGCATATGCAAACATTGCACAATCCAAACTTGTCCTAGGCAGGTCAGTGAGCACAGTCTATACTGTTACTCAAAGTCAAGGATGCTTTCAGTGTGGCTACTCCAGCGAGCCTTCCATGAGATAGTAACATGCTGCACATGCGCAGAGAAGGCTGAATGTTTGGGTTTCTTTTCTGCAGGGTTTCTCGCTATATTTAATATACATTGTACAGGAGCGGGGGCACAACCATGAAGTAACTTCCCCCAGAGGCACTCGGCATTTCTCGGTCGCCTTTTTTAGAACTTTTGTCTCACCAAACATGTTATGTGAACTTCGTGGCCCATCTGTGGTGGGCAGCCCCCAGGAAGTCCTCTGGGGCTGAGGGTCAAGCCACAGCAGCTGCAGGTTCTTGTAAATGCTTTTTCTTTCCCCAGGGAGAGACTGTTCCAGGTCTAACGGGTTCTGGTGTTCTGTTAGCCTTCTTAGGGCCATGATACCAGCCTGTTCTTAAAGATTTTTTAAATGTTTGCTGCAGGCAGTATCTCAAAAAAAAAAAAAGTCTAGCATCTCACTTTCTAATTCAGCTTCCAACCACCTGCACAAAGGGCAGGGAGCGCTCTGAATGGCGCATTGGTGCATGTAAGGTAGGGGATAAAACGCTCGGTAGTAAAACCTCTCCTCCCCTCTCCTTAACTTCACTGTCTGATCCGCTTTCTCAAGTGTGTTGTCAAAGCATGAGATGCAGCTGGGCCGCAGCCCCGCTCTGTTCTGCCGGTGACGCTGAACTCAGCCAGCCGCCCAAAAATCACTTCCGCCTGTCACACAGAAAAGTTTATTGAAAAATAAAGTTCTCCCTAGTTTTCTCTACAACAGTGGAAAACAAAGCAGTGCTCTCTATGCCAGTACAGTACATGTGGACAGCGACACCTTATTGGCAGAATCCCGCAGGACCGAACCCCAGACGTAAACAGTAGAAAACGGCTGTACCAGGATTTGTTTTGAAGACACAGACACAGAAGGCTATTAACAACGTCAAGACCGTAACGGCAGTTCCAGCAGAAGGGACATCACCACCTCCTTTGGCATCAACTGTTCCTCTATCGTCTCGTGAACACCCTGGCAGGTCAGTGAGCAGGATGTGCTGCATCTGCTCCATCTCAGCGCCGGGGGATGTGACGGGGCCATCCCGAGACCCTGACCTGCTGCCCCCGGTCACCCCCATGCTCTGTGTGCCCGCTGCCCTGCCCGCTTCACAGACACTGTTCCTGACCACCGGACAAGCATGGACTTCCCCACTGTGGGTCAGGGTTGGGGGGCAGCCTCAAGGCAGCACAAAATCTGGAGCACAGAGTGAGGGTCTGAAGGTGAATTCTGATCATTACATCCATAGCATTCTAAGACTGCTGATCAGCTGAAGAGAAACCAAAGGAATCTGAAAAAGACACCGGACTCCAAAAGCTCCCCATGGCCCACAACCACCATCTGGCCAGAGCTGTGCCAGCCTGGGGCAGGGGATAAAACTTTAAATCCACTAGCAAAGTATGGGAGGCTGAATCCCAGTAGGACAGACAGCAGACTGATATTTAAGTGATTTGTGAAAGCACAGGCCCACAAGCATTCTCTGGGAGCTGTTCTGAAAGAGGCCCAAATCCCTGTCTGGGGGCCTTGATTGGTTCTCCTAGGGAGGTGGGACCAAGAAATGGAAATTTTTTTTTTTTTTGTACTGGGGATTGTGCCCAGACCTTTGTGCTGAGCTACCTCCCTAGACCATTTTATTTTGACAGGATATTGCTAAATTCCTGCCTCACCCTCCCAGAGGTTTTTGTAACTAACCTTTAGATGATAGACTAGGAGAGGTAACCAGCCTGTAAAAGCCCACTCTGGCCAGCAGGGGGCAGTAAAGGAATTTCCTAAGGGAATGTTTAAATTCAAGCGGTCCTTCCTCCTCTCTTAAGGAACACAGAAAACCCTCTGTGATCGCACAGCAAAAGAATACAGTTAACTTTAATTCTCGGGGTGCAGTCTGTCAAAGGACTTTTAATTTCAAGCTTAAAAAGTTCATCAAACCAAAGCCCTGGAATGTTCCAGAAGATATCACGGGGTAAGGTTCAGTGAGTGGCCAAACATCACCTTTACACTTTTCATCTCCAGTTAGCAAATACTTGCAGCCTTGTTTCATTGGGGGCCGAAGTCGGCCCATTTTCAAATGACTCAGTGCATCCAGGAATACAGTGAAATTTCAACTAGCAGGCTAGATGCCGAACTTGAACACTCTAAACCAGTAATTCCTACAACATTCATCAACTTGGGATACTATTTCCATGTAGGTATTACTTCTGAGTAACAGGGAATGAGCTCAGCTCAGCTCTGTATTTCTCAGGTTTTATGAAATGCTAATAATAACAATATTTAACGTTTACTAGGGCTTACTATGCGCCAGGCACTGTACTAAACACGGACTCCTCACAAAATCGTTAAGTGCTAGGAAAGCTAGGGTAATTTCTTTTCCAGTATCCAGGACTATACAGCTAGTTTGGTCTTTTGCTATAGGTGAAAACTTGATGTTCCACTTGGTGAAGCCAACAGGAATGAAAAGGAACTTATGCTCAGCTTTACAAAATTGCCGGTTCCTAAATGAGTATTAATCTACTTAAATCCACCCATCTAGTCACATGAAGATGCTTTGTGGCCCTACAGGGATAGATGAGATTAGAATAAAGCCAATATGGAAATTAAAACATTTTCAAATAAATAAAACAATCCAGGCTTGGGCTAGGGACACAACTGAGCCCGTCGTTAACAAAATAGACTTTAAAAAAAAAAAAAAATCAAGAATCTATGGGCCCGGGAGAGGGAAGCAGTGTCTAATTCTGTACACAATCTAGGTAATCCACCTTGGTCTGGTCTGAAAAGCGCACACTCGTTATACACACTCATTTCTCTAGTCCAACCCGGCCCACCGTCATGGTCCCTTGGTAGTGTGGTGCCACTACCAAGGGGGAAGCTGGTTATGTTTACTAAGCCCTGCACTTATCCAGCAAACTCAAAAAGAGAGGGCCCAGGTCCTTTCTCCTTCATGCTGTTAACCAGTTGGAGTATTTCTGGCCATTCCTTGGAAACTTCAGTGCAGCTCCTGGCGTGGGGCTGACCTTCTGCCTTTGCTGCGCCTCAGCCAGTGCGGGCGGCAGGGAGCTCAGTCAGCGTCATGGCAGCCAGCAACCCCAGGACAGACCCAAAGGGACGGCCCCCCTGGAGGATACCAGCCCTTTCCTTGGCATCCTCATGGCTTGGAGTCCTCCTCCGGGAGTGAATGTGTGCACACCAGTGCGGCGGTCTTGGGGCCTGAACATCTGCCCTCACCCGAGTACCTGTCCGGCAGGAGCAGCCTACTATCACCCTGCAACAGCACCCAGCTTCCAGAAACCACTCCCAAAGCAAAGTGAAAAGGCACATCAGGAAAATAAATACCACCAAAGAAACAGACTCGACTATTTCCGAACACACAGCAAACACTGAAAGCGAACCGTGATAAGCAGTGACAAAAACAAAAAGCAAAAACGCAGAGCATCCCAATTTGTACATGTGCAAATCAGATTGCATACATGAAATCAATGAGGTTGTTTACTGGCATTCAAAGAAGGGCTTGCCCTTTCAGGAGTTTCCACTCCATGAAAGTACTTACCTCACAAAGGAAAGCTTTCTCTTTCTTAATAAATTAGATAAAATTTTTTCCCCTCAAGATGAAGATCACAATAGGAAAGATAATCCAAAGGACAAGGTAGGCTGTGATTATAGCATAGGAAAACAGTGATCCTAGTTCGGATTTCTCTCCCTGTGGAATAGTCATCAAATACAAATTGACTTAGGTTTCTATAAAAATCAGAAATAGCAAAACTGCTGCAGGCTTCCGGCCCACACTGGCGAGGCACCTTCCTCTTTTTTCCACTCGGGGAAGGTGGGATCCTTCTCCCCTCTTCCCTATGGAGGGTCCCTGACCAAACCTGGCCAGGGCCCGAGCAAGCCTGGGAGCTGGTGCACATCCACCACTTCTACTGATAATGCCTTTGACAGCGGAAGCATGGGCTGGTGTGGCCTCCGCAGCAGGTCTCTTGTTCACTTACAGCTAAGGCAGGGGGAAGGAAGAGGAATTAGTCAATGGGAGAAAGTGCTCTTCCGAGCTGCCTGACCTTGGGGTCTTGACTTGGAGGAACAGGAAGGCGCAGAGGCCCTAAGCTCGGCAGCAGCCAGCGAACGATCCATGCAGTTTCAGCTTCCGCAGGCAGGGCTAACAATACCGGGTTTCCCCGCTTCCTCAATTCCTGTGCTTGTTTAAACAATGGGTTAACAGGCAGCACCTGGGGAATCAAGTCTTGGCTCGAGTCCTCCCCCTGCTGGTCAAATGTGTGCATCGGCAGCTTGTGAAGTTAAGAGAAAGAGACCAGCAGGGGGCGGAGCTGGCCAGGAATTGCGGGTCTGGGAACTCAAAGGCAGAATAGGGGCGCAGACAAGAGGCCGGCTCGCAGGGGAAAAGCCCTTCCTTACAGTGAGGCTGCCCGTTCTCTGCCCTCCTACGGTAGAAACTGCCCTGGCAAAGTTGAAAGAAAGGAACACACACACTTTTCCTCCGTTCTTCCGCCCTTGCTGAGTCTGGGTACAGGCTGTTCGCAGCCGGATCCTGAGACACCCCCACCCCAGTCAGTGTTCAGGGAAGAGGTCCCCCTGTCCGATGTACTCAGGGAGTATGGTGGGGGGGGCACCCTGGCTGCTGCTCCCCAGCCCCCTCCACTCTCTAGGATGGACGTGCAATTCAAACTCACGAGCAGGGACCCGGGGCGGGGGTTACAAGGCCGTGCGCTTGCTATTACAGTATTTATGCACTAGGTAGAAACCAAGAAGCACCCAGGCGGATCTAACTTCCCAGCCTCGCTGGACCTCACAAAACTGAATTTTCCTTCCCTCGCTCCTGACGCAGGACTACCTAGTCATTAGCTCTGCCCAGCACACCCGCTCCCCACCCCCAACAGCCAGAGTGCTGGGGACCCATGGCGCAGGCCTGGCGCAGTGCTGCGCAGCCGCGGCACCCCACCCGGCAGCCAGGGCCCCAGCTCCAGCCTGGAGGAAGGCGGGCTTGCTGTCATGGGCACGGAAGCCTTGGGCTTCGCAGGAAGCTCCCCAACTTGCGCCGGGCTCCGAGACACGGAGCACTGAGCCCCACAGGTCTGCGCGTCCCTCTTAGAGGAAAGCCAGCGTCATCCCTCTTGGGCGCAGCCAGGACCACACAGCATCCACATCTGCCCCTGCGGACGTCACGTTCACCAAGACCCCCACTGCCTGACTTGGGGGACATCACAGCCCATCTGTCAGGGGCCCAGCTCTGGCTGGGCCACTAACTAATGCTGTAGACTGATTTACTTTTGTCCACATCTCAGCTCCTCGCGGACTACAGCATCAGCCCTCCAAGTCCAAAGGCAGCGGAGTGCCACACCTTCCACCTTACAGGGGCCTGGGAGGGAGAGGACATTCACCACCAACCAGCAAACAGAAATGCTACAGCCTTGCATTTCTTTCCTAAAGAATTCCAACCAGAATTTAGGGCTAAGTTTGGCGGGGGGCGGGGAACACATAGGGAAACAGCCCTGTCTTTTGTCTCTGGCTGGGCTCCTGGCGCGCAGGGGTACTAAGCACCCTCCCAGGCCTCACTTATCTTCCAGCTGCCGCGTGCCAAGGCTCTGCGACAATACTCAGGACAATGTGGCTGTTTTCAGAGCAACATTTTTTTTTGCCCTGCCACCGCTAGAAGCCATGCCCGCCAGCTGCCTCCAGAAAGCCATCAGCCCTCCTGCACCCCACCCGAAGCACATGGAATAGTACTGTGAAAGTGAACTATTAACCGTGGGAAGCAGAGGAAGAGACCTGTGACTGATCCCTCTCCTCCCGCCCAAGTCCCCCCTCCCAAATAAATAAATTAATGGGTTTAGGAATGTTCGCAGTCAAAGTTCTGTCCAATTAGCTCAACTCCTCCTCTTGTTCCGTTTTACATGAATCTTGAGACGTTCCGTTTCTCTCTCTCTTTTTCACCCGGAGCAGCTGCATTGACAGTCTCTCTGCAGTTGCTCCACACAAAGTAGAAATGCTGCTTGCTGTACCGGGGAGAAGCCGGGCTCCTGGCCTGACATCTGCTCTCATCTTGTTTTGGTGACAACTCCGCTGGGATGTGCTGCCTGCAGCGGGAGAAGTACCAAACAAAACCCCCTACCAAAAAGTTTGGGCTCTCGCCAGAGTCCCCAAATGATGTCTGCCCCCTGGCCCTGCCCGACAGAGCTGCTGTCTGCCCCAGCACAGTGTGAGCTGGGCCGAGCCGGGCTGCTATAGGCAGTCTTTACAGAGGGCCACCTGGCCCTTGATGTAGTCCCGGCAGGGGCAGATCCTCTGGTGCCTGGGGTGGGCGCCTGCGCAGCTGAAGAGCAGGAGGTCCCCTTGGAACACACAGTGCTTGCTCTGGGGCTCGATGGAGGGCACGAGGATGTCCTTGGCCCGCTCTGAGCTCTGGCAGATCACCTCGTACCTGGAGAGGAAGAGAAAGGCACACTGGTTGGAGAAGCAGGGGACAGAACTTGTCGTCAGCGCTGGCCCTGCTGGTCCACCTGCTGGGGGCGGAGCATGTTCAGGATTCCTGCTTCAAAAATGAGACGGCAACGGTGTCACCCTCTGACCCCGTGATTCTTCATTTCAGGAACGCTGGCTGTGGAAAGGCTTGCGTGGCCTGATTTTCTCTTCTGTAAAATGGAGATAAATAATCCCTGTGTGCAGGCAGTAAATGAATGATTCTAGAGCACTGGGCAGTCTAGTTCTGAGTCAGTGGTCCACAAGTGGTCACTATCATTATTAGTATGATCACCGCCACTGTCCAGTACCTGGCAGGCATGGGGTGCTTACACCACCTTCCTCCCCTGCAGACAGTGAATATACACGCACATCAAAGCATGTCCATTCTGCTGTGTTCACCAAAGGTCCACTTCCTACTGTGCAGGAAGAGATCAGGACAGATATTTAAGGCTTCCCACTGCCTCTGGGAAGTCTGGGGCTGGGTTAGGAGAAGCACCACACTCTCCTTTACTCCTGCAGCTCTCGTGTTCCTCCAGCCCACCAGCCGCCGGGCCTGCCTCTTCTCCCAAACGGCAACCCCTGTGGCACATCCGCAGTGCCTCTGGAACTCAGCAGCCCTGGGGGCTGTGGCTGCTGCTGCCCTGCTGGTGTCTGTTAGTCGGGCACTGAGGCCTGGGTGGGAGTGTGGTGCCCTCTTGTGCCTGTAGTCTCCAGGGCAGCTCTATCCCATCCCTAAATACTCTCACAGCCGTCTTGTACCAGCTGGGAGATGGTGGTGCCCCGGGGGGTTAAGGCCACAGGCCAAAAAGGGAAAAGGCTGGATGCAGGAATTTCATGGATTTTCTACAAGGGAAAAGGAGCCAGAGACTTGGGGCTACTAGGCCCTTCTCAGGGAACCCAGACTGGGCAACAAAAGGAAAGTGGTATCTGGAGCTCAATCTGGCATGAACAGTTTACATGTGGATCGTGGCCTTGGGACACAGGGCATGCTTATGCTATTTAGGTATGCGAGTGACTTACAGAGGCTGCCATCCTTAACTTGACCATCTGTGTGGCACTGGCCCGACACTGTTAACCAGGAGCCTGGACATCTCTGCTGCTACTATCACACCCACGGTGGGAGCAGAGCTGCTGGGAACCGTGCAAAGACCCCCTGCTCCTTCCCTGGGTGCCTTGGGCTTGGGCTCCAGGGCACAGTGGCTGGTGCAGGAGTGCATGCTGTAATCCCCTGTCTAGGAGCACATCCCAAACAGGGCTGTGGCAGCAGGAGCCAGCAGCATGGGCAGAGGCCCTTGCCCGGGCTTCTAGTGCAGACCCCGGGCCACAGTGCGGAACGTGCCACAAGGCAGCTCCCCAAAGGCCCCTTGACGTGAAGCTGTGGGAATGTACAGTTCTAGCCGCTCCCTAGTGCCACCCATCCCCTGGCCTGAGCACCTTCCAGGCCCCCACAGAGCTCTTCCGCTCTGACTGTAAGCAGGTGCCTGTCCCAGAGACTTGGAGCTCCCAAGACCCTTCGAGAAGCAGGGATGGAAGCAGGATTGTCCTACTGCTGCGCCTGCCTGGAGCGTCTTCCTTCCCTCAAAGATGCACTCACACTGCATGACCACTCCGATTCCAGGCTGTCTGCCTTCACAGATGCCAAAGCATTTACCATCTAAATTTCACTGCTCAAATCCCCGTCTCAAAGAGCAAGCCCAGTGGCCAGTGTAGACGCCCTCTCACTCCGGGTTATGTCCTCATAAACCTGTCCTAAAGCGGAAATACCGTAAGTGGAAAATGCACTGAATATACCTCACTGACCATCCCAGCTTGGACACGTGGCACATGGCAGTATTGCTCGTGGCCCCTTGTGTCCATGTGGCTGAGGAGACAGTACCACACCACCTAGTCACAGCCTGGGAGAAGATCCAAATGCAAAATCTGAACTTCAGTTTCCACAGAATGCTGACGGTTTTCACACCAGTGTCCAGTTGAAAAATCCTAACTTGTATCATAAATTGGGAGCCCCCTGTAATTTAAAATTTTACAATATATAATCTTAAGAGGTAGCTGCTGTTGCAAAGGAGGATTCACAGTAACACATGTTGCATTTTATGGAGCTGAGTCCTTCCCCTGGGGCCATGCAGGAATGGATGCTGGCACTGTCTGGGGCTGTCTGCCTTGTCCTCTCAGCTCTATTCTAGGTGCAGTCTTGGCAGAGTCATGCATGCTTTGGGGTGGCCTTTCCAGCACTTAACTGTCCCTTGCATGCAGAGAAGTTGAAAGGCTACCTGCTGATTCTCCTGATTCAAGGGCTTGATTTATGTGATACGTTAAAGTCATACTACACAATGAGGACAGGTGGTATGTAAAGGTCACAGACACCCAAGGACGGAAAGAAGCTGAAGATCAGATGAGAACCAGGCCCTAAGTTGGAGGACAACAAGCAGCCCTGGCTTGCTGGAGCCGCTAATTGCTAATTGGCCATGAATATGGATGGGCCAGGATTACCTCCACTCCGAGGAGGCACTCAATAGACTGCCAGATAGCTGGGGTTTTACAACATTATCAGTATTTACAAATGCATGAACAAGTTATTCAGTAGGGCTCTTATGTTCACAGAATTAATTTCAGATGGCTTTACTGCAAAATTATCATTCATTCCAGCCTGCTGGTAAGAAAACCCGAATCTCTCCAGTGGGATGAGTGAGGGTGAGTGATGCCAGGACGCAGAGCCTACAGCCCAGGCCCTCTGCTCTGTGGACGTGGCATAGGATCTGGAGTGGGAGGGAGAGGCCTTGCCAGGGGACTGGCTTTTTTTCTTTCTGGTTTTCTTTTTTTTGGTACAGGGAATTGAACTCAGGACCTTATGCTTGCCAGGCAGGCGCTTGTGCCGCTGAGCTATATCCCTGGCCTGGGACTGGCTTTTCTAATCTTGGCCTGGTGGTCTTGAGCCTGCTCTGCTGCCTGAAAGAAGGGGCCATTCTGCTCTTCAGCAAGGGCTGTTCCTCACCACTGCCCCATCACCCTGGATGTTCCTGTCTCCAGGGAGAAAACTGATGAGACTGGCCACCTGCCCAGGTGTTGGGTGTCCTTCCTGTCCCTGCTGACCTTGCCCGGGAGATGGGCTGCCTGTGCAGGGCTGCTGGTGTGGACTGCATGCTAGCTTTCAGGCAGACCCTATGGCAGCACCAAGGCTAAAAGCCTAACTCCTGCCCAGGCCAAGAAGGAAGCTGCACTATTCAGGAGTCCTGGGTAGGTTCCATTCCCAGGAGGCTGCATGCAGATGGACCTGAAAACAGTGCTAGTGATTTTTTTGTTTCCGTTTTTGTTTTGTTTTTCTTCTGGTACCAGGAATTGAACTCACAACCTTGCGCTTGCCAGCGAGGTGCTTTGCCGCTGAGCTAAATCCCCAGCCCCCTGGACCTAGTGATTTAAAACATCCAGAGTGCTTGGCATTCTCTAAAAGGCACCACATTCCAGGAGTGGTCTGTGAGGAGCTGGTGCAAAGTCCCGCCTAGGACCCTAGAGGTCAGGTCTACAGTAGGGAGCTGGAAGTTTCTGGTGCCCTCAACAGCTCTCCATCCATGTCACAGCAGCCCCTCACAGCAGCCTCCCCGGCTGCTGAGCAGGGTGCACCCAGCCTGCCTCTCCTGGCCCGTGCTTTTGTGTGGATGGCAGAATCCAGGCAGATTCCAAGTCTGTCTTACCATAGAAAGAATGGGAATAAACAGCATCCCTCTGCGAGCTCTAGCTGTGCCGGAGGCCACTCTCTCTCAATGGAGTTTTATGCTGTGCTTGAGAATACGCTGCCTCACGGGAGGGGCCACGCCAGCTCAGACCACCACGCACAGTGACCACAGTGGACAGGCACAAAGCTGTAAGAGGGGCAGGCAAGCTCGGAGCCTCAGGCCCACCGTATTCCTTAAATATCCTCTTCCAGCCTTGGATTGGCTATTTAGAGTTGAGGCAGCGGAGTCTTGTTACGATAAACAAGTTTCTTGGAGAAACCTCCAGTCAGCGGGTATTAAGGTAGTGGGAGGCTACATAAATAATCAACACTAGATAATCAAGTCAGGGAGGGTGATAAGCAGTGGGAGAAACGAGCACTGATAGGGAACGGGGATCAGAAGCCAGGAGAAACCTTGCGTGGGAATTTGGAAACTGCAGATGCCAAATTCAAAATGCTAATGCAAAGGGGAACGCACAGTGTCACTAAAAGTACTCCAAGTACAAGGGGGAAAGTTCAAAAAGCATCAATGCAAGGGGCACCAGAGGCCCCCTCGGCCTGTGCCTCACTGCTGAGGGCCGGGCAGTCAGGCCGGCTCAGGTCCCTGGGGCACCACATCCCGAAGGTGCCTGAAGAAAGTGCTACGGTCAGCACTAGGGATTTGCTGGCAGCAGTTCCGGGCCAGCTCCTTCTCCCCATTTCTCATTCCTTTCTGATTCCAAGGTTGCGACTCACCTGTGCTCCGTGCAGCTTGGGCTCTGTGGGGCACTATCTGGGTACCTGGTCATTGCCGAGGGTCTGCCGGGCAGGTCTGCTGGTGCCTGTGGCTCTGTGCCCACTTCCACTCCTGTTCTTGGGCGCCACATTAGCAAAATGAACACCTCCCACCAGCGCCCAGCCCAGAGGTGGTATTATTTGTGCCACAGCCCCATTCAAATTCCAAGCACATCTGCACGCCAGGTGACTTCATTCTCCTGAGTGTGCTGCAGCCAGTGCCCTACCCACATCTTCGCCTCACTGCCCACGGCCCGGACAGAGACGCAACGCCTTTCCACCCAGCCCTGCCCAGCCACACAGAGCTGAGCTGCTGGCCCCCAGACTTACTTCAGCAGGTCCTTGGCCTTGTTGAGGTGCTGGAAGAAGGACGGCTCACAGATGAGCTGGCTCTCCTGGCACACCTGCTTGCAGGACTGCCCGGGCTCTGCAAGCTTCACCTGCAGGGCACTCAGAGGAGGCCACATCACTTGCCCGTGGCAGAAGTCCTAAAACGAAAATGAAGCCATCAGCCAAGCGACCGAGGAGACACAGGATACTGACAATGGGAAGCTCCACTCTGGGAGCGACAAAGGGGAGAACTGGGAGCCGGGCAGGTGCAGGATGGGCATGTGTGGGCCAGGTCTTGACCTTCCCAGTAGCCACTAGCTTCCTCAGCCACAGACGGGGAGACAACAGCAGGGTCTCCCCATGAGGTGTGAGGAGGACACTGCGCAGCACGCAGCACACAGCACTGTGCATGTCCGTACGCACCATCAGAGTCACCCACAAGCCGGCAGTGTGGCTGCCTAAACCGGCCCTCGGAGGCCCACTTTCAGGTCCGCCTCCCCCAGCAGATCTCTTCTCTCCTTGGATCCCAGAAACCTGGAGAAGCTAATCCAGCTTCATGATCAGCTACCTAACAATAGCGTTTCATGAGCGCCAGTTTTACCTCAGTGGCAAGATGTGGACAGTGTAAGGTGAAGGATCAAACCAAGGAGTCTGCAGGCATTTCTGATGTCCCCCAGCATGGCACCACATGCTTGGCAGGGACACGGTGCCTACTGGCTGACAACAGTCACCATGCCAGGTAGAAGATGTGAAGGAGCGTGGCATCCCCCTGAACAAGGTCAGACTGTGCGGAGCCGGGCACTCCAGGATCTAGAGGGAGTGAGGAAGACGGCAATGCATGGCCCTGGTGCCAAGCTTGCTCTCCTAGCACATGGTCAGTGGCACCAAGGCAGACTGTCTCTCAGTCCCCAGAAACCTGACCTGCTGAAGGTACTCTCTGTGCCAGAGACTGGGGTGGATTCCAGTAAATCCATTTGGGAGTGCTGGGTGGTTGGGATCCCACAGATATCCAAGATGGCACAGGACGGGCCAGGAAAGCGCAGCATAGCACAGCAGCACCGGAGAGGAGAGAGGCAAAGGGCTCGGTACAATCTAAAGGTTGAACTGAGCTAGATACCTGTTTAAAGACAAATGATACCCGCCCAGGAGGCAGGCTTCCAAGCGCCGACATGTCTCTGTGATATGCGGAGCAGAGAAAACAGCAGGGTAGGGAAAGGAGCCTGGTGCGCTCCTCCATGTGACACGCACTGGGGAGAGGCACAACGACGTGAACACGTGTGTGCTGCTCCCAGAACACCCCTGCTGGCCAGCCTGCCGCCGAGAAGCGGAACACGGTGAGCAAGCTGACTGTGCCATGCCTGTGCTCCTGGAATACTTTATTTTCCCACAGCTTGCCTCTCCCGAGCACTTAAGGAAATTCGTCATCTCAGTCTGGGGCCCACACAGGAAACGTGCCCTGCCCCACCCGGTGCCACGCGGGGCATCCCAGGCGCGGCCTCACATGGCCAGGGTGCTGCCCTTACGACAGGGAGGGTGAGCACCTCAGCACGCTGCACCCAATAGGGGCCTCCTTTTCTTTTTCTTTTTCAATCTTGCCTTGTGTTACTTTTAATGAATCAGAAGACAAACCAAAGGAATAAAGAAAATCCTTTCCTCCCAGCTACTCAGGCAGCCAGGTTTGGGTTCCATTCGGCCTCCCTCTTGTACCAGCTACTTGAACATCTGGGCAAAATATGTCATACTCAGAGCCTGTTTCCCCATCAGAAAAACAGAGACAACAACGATGATTTCCAACGGCCCAGGCTTCTTTTTCCTTTTTTCTTGTTTTTGGCACCAGGAGTCAAACTCAGGACCTTGCACTTGCCAGGCAGGCGCTTGTGCTGCTGAGCTATATTCCCAGCCCTCCTTTTTTCTTAAAGCAAATGATACTGTTCGCTGCTGAAGAAGGCAAGTGGCAGGTAGTGAGTACCTGACACTGACCTCTCTTGAGTCTGCCAAATGAGACCAGGACTGGAACAAGAGCGCAGGCCGCTGCTGTCCCCTGCATCACACTGCTGAGGAGGAGACAGGCTCCTGGCGTCGGAGTTTGGTGGTTAACAAACAAATGCTTCACCCAAAAGTCGGCAGGAAATCTGGAGCTGGAATCTTACCAGATTCCTAACTCGAGATGACATAAATACACCAATTACTTAGGGTACTAGGGTGCAGCTTAGTCTTCAGGACATGAGGCACAGGGATGGTAAGCAGAGTCCTGAGACCCGCGCAGCACTAGGGCAGGAAGACCTAGAATGGTGACTCCTTATATTCCCAACGATTTCGAAAACAACCTAGTCTTTTAAACTGTGGGTAGTGCAGTACGTGGGTCTTGGGTGGCCACTGTTTTTCTCTGTGCCAGTGTAGGGAGCCTTGTATCTTGCAACCCTGCCTGTCCCTGATGGCAGTCATTGCGTAGGAAGGATCAACTAATAATGATGAAGGGAGTTAACAATCAGAGCTGTGGGATATACAGGTATTTGGAAAAGGTAAAGCGTCGCTTGTATTTTTGGCTGGCTAATGCAGCACCTTTGCTTCTAATTCCAGAGGCGCAAACTGATAACTTCCACAGCCTTTCAACATTACAATAAAGAGATTTTAAAATCTCCCCCACACCAAAACCCATAGTATAATTGTGCAGCACAGACAAACAACCAGGAAATCTAGAATCAGATCACATCTGCATCAGAAGCTAAGCAAGAATTTCTCTGCTTCTTGGACTTCCCTCGGCCCAGCCTTGGGGCTACAGTTTGGATCCCAAATGTTCCTCAGAAGCCCGTATGTCACAAGCTTGTTCGCCAGCAGGTGGACTCCTGGGAGGCGGTGGAACCTTAGGGATGGAGTGGATTTTGAGCTCACTGGGGGTTTGCCTGGAACCCAGGCACCTTCCGGTCTCTTTCATTTCCTGGCATTGAGTTGGGCTTTTGTTCACTGACACATTTCCAACATGGGGGCCCCCAGGGCCTCAAGCAGTGAGGCCAACCAACTGTGGATTGGAATATTTACAACTGTGAACCAAAATACAACTGTCCCGTGAGGACAGTGATTATTCCAGGTCTTTGTTTTAGTAACAGAGAGCTGACTGACACATCTGGACGCAGAAGGGAACAGAAATCTAGGAAGGCTGAAAGCTGTTCTTGCTTTGATGACTTGTAAGAAAATGGGCACACCTCTCCCTAATATGTCCCCGAAGACAGAGCTGAAGGAGTGTCTAGGTTTGGGGAAGATTAAGACCCTGTTCCTTATTCATTCTCAGCTTCGTACCAGACTGTTTAAGCTGAGGTTACAAAAAAAGACCCTACTACGTTTGGGAAGGTGGTGATATGGCAAAGGAATGTGTCTCCAGTCATAACAAGATCTGAGACCAGGCCCCACTGCCGCGGTGCTGTGAGTGCCTTACTCCGCCTAGTCTTCAATTCTGGTGTTTCTGTTCGGACAGTGACCCCAGCCCAGAGGGAAAATGCAGGCCAGGGGAAGGCAGCAAATGACACGTGCTCCCCAGATGCTCCTCGGCCCCCTCCTTGGAAGGGCTGCCTCAACTCTACGTGGCTTTTGGAGACAGCCTTGGGGCATCTGCAGGGCCCAGGCTGTCCCTGGGTGCACGGACACTCTGGACCTCATCTTGAGCAGGGCAGCTTCCCCTGTAAAGGGAGAGGCTTGGAGCCCCCTGCTGTGGGGATCACGCGTCTGCTCCGCTCGTGTTTTTGGGCGCCTCAGCAGCCAGCCTTCCCGGGTCCCCCTCCGCGGGCACATTTAGCTCAGTTCTGCATGGGGGCTGCAGCCACTCTGCCACTGCCCACTGGGGGGAGGGCTTGGCGTCCTCCCAATAATCTGTTTTGGGGCCAGTAGGACCAGGAATAGTAAAAAGTAGCAGGAAGACCATCTTAAAGCTCAGGGAACCATCTGGGAAGACGGAAGGAGTCACCAGAAAGCATGACAGGAGGTAAGGTCGGAGGGGCTCAGGATCTGGGCTGTGATTCTGGCCCCAGCTGGGGGACTTCCCAGATGTCTTTCAAGATCTGTCAGCCCACCTCGCATGTCAAGTGCGGACAGTACCATCTGTCCTTCATTCCTGCGGGAGGAAAATGGACAGACTGACAAGGAGTGCTCCTGGGATGTTAAAGACAGTGCCCCAAGACTGCCCGGGACACGTGGCCGGGGACCAGAGAGAAGGTGAGCGGCCTGCATGACATAAGCTGATGTGTCCACGAGAGCCACCTCTGGGCTCACCTGCTTGTAGGGCACAACTGGAATGAAGCCCTTGTCTGAGCCCTCTCTCACTCACGGGTGCAGCTGCTCCTGAGTGCCACAGAGGTCACTGCTGTCACTGACTGCGGCACAGACTCACATGGCTGCCTTGGTATCTCCTTACCACAAGCGCTCATTCAATAAGCACCTGCTCTGAGGTAGGCGAGCACACATTCATTCATTGCTTTACACATGACGACTAAAGCCTCACACTGACTGTCACAAATGCAAACAAGGAGACCAAGTCCCTGGGCTCAAACATGTGGTGCAAGTCTAACGGTAGGGGCCAGCCTTTAAAAAACTTACAGAACAGGAGATAAAAAGCAGATGCTCAAGCAGGATCCCAAGGCCACATGGAGGAGGGGAAGAACTAACTCTACAGGGAAGGGGGAGTGCTGGTGGCAGCAATCAGAGAAGGCTTCTAGGAGATAGGGACTTCTGGGATGGGCTTTGTAGGCTGCACAGGAGTTAGTGGCTTACCGGTAACATGATGCTTTGTAGCTCATAAAGAGCTATTAAATTGAAATGAATGGTTTTGGCATCCTGGGATTGTAATAGTAGCAGAAGTAGGAAAGGAGACTATTCCAACCCAGTGAGGCGTCTGTGCAGCCAGAATGAGACACACATGATGATTTCCAATCTGGTTAACAAGCCCACTTTGAACGCACACCATCTGCATTCCTTTCTAGCAATGATTCAGCCAGTCACACGTTTCTCCAAGATGCGCCTGATGACTTCGACATTCCCACGCAGAAAGGATAAACCATGGGAAGGTTTTTATGCACTGACAAATGCATGAGAGGAAGCCATGCTCTCCACTGATGGGCACACGCCACCATTACGCGGAGGAAGGGGCCGCCTGTCATGGAGGGCGGGG